GTCACTAATGAAGATTGCATGCACCTGAGCTCCCCTGAGTTGGCCCTGCCTTCCCACTAGTTGCTCATTCACTATTTGAAGGAGTGACTTAGCATTTCAACTACAGTGAGGTTATATGTTAAGGTTAGACACATTAAAAATCTCATAAAAGGTATTTAGAGATAGAGCCAAACTTATCTATACTTGTGATTTGATTTGTAAAGTTATCTGTTGTACTGTTAAAAATGTTGGACTCAGTTTGACTGATTTAAACAACAGCAGTATAAATTAAAAACACCCCCCATTTAAAAGAAAAAAATTGGTTTTCTGAGTGTGTGTGAAAATCAACTGAATTAATCCCAAGCAGATTTAAAATCGGTCCACCTGTTAAAGCTGCAGACAAATATTATATACAGTGTTGCATTTCTACGTTTAACTATCTACAAAATAAAATGAGGTAGTATTTTTACAAATGGCTTGTAAATTCTTGCAAATAGATGTGTGTTGTTGCATTGTCTACTTAGAAGAGTGGCTAAAACAACAATTCAAACAATATGAGTGTTCAAAAACTAATGGTGATTTTCTTAGGCTTACTCCCGAGTATACTATTCTCTAGGAAGGTTGCCTGTAGTGAACTTTATAGCTGTGATTTAATCTACCCCTACTATTTTTTTTCTTAGTTAATTATTTCATACAGTTGTATAATCAATTGGATGCCCTGTTAAGCCCACCAAATCTACAGTTGATTCTTAGAATGGCCAATATATAGAAAATCAGTCTTTATGCAGAATGTAACAAGTGATTTATTTGCAAGTAGAACTTAGAAACTGTGCATGAAGTCCTGACTGTGGTAAAATATTAGAAGCTTAATTGCTAACTTAGTAAAATAAAAACCTTTATCTTTTAAAATATGACCAAAGGAAGTCCGTGCATGCATTTTTCTCTTTCGTGTTATTGTGCTATACTGTGCCTTGCAGGTGTAGTAAAACTTGTTTTTCACATAAAGACCTCAATGACCAAATCTGGTTTGTATGACTGAAAGAAGAAAACAGCACATTGTTTAAAACACTTAATGAACAATCTGCCATATGCTACAATTCTCAAGTAATTAGTCTATTCCTCTATCCGCCAGTTATAGGAAATTCTGCAATTAGTTTTGCCAGATACACTTTTTGGAAAGCTAGAACGGTTTGTGCTTCACATTAAGGCTTGGTTGAATGCAGCTGAAATAAGTAATTTGAAATTCATTCTTATAAGAGATGAATTGTTTTGTTGTTAAAAACACTTTCTATTATTTTCATCTAAAGAGGAAAACTAACATGTAAGGATCAGTAATAAGAAATCTTTAATAAATGAGTATTGAAGCCAGCTCAGATCATTAGGGAGCAAACTGGTATGAACCAACAGGTTTTACACTGCTGTTATAAGCGGATAAAGATCCTTTCTTTCTCTATACTGAATGAAAGTCTTGCAACAGGATGAATTCCCCTCTTCTGAGGATACTGCAATTTGACTAGACAGGTAGTATAGGGCATGTTCTGAGACAGTGTAAGGAAGATAATCTGTTAAGGGATCTGAAAGTTAGAATATACTAATGAGACTTCTCTATGGTAAATCTAGCAAAAGGACCCATGTTCTCTACTTCTGCTTCCTTGTGTGTAACACTTTATTTCAAGTAGGAGAACCTGCTTCTATATTTTCTTTTCCAGATTTCTTAATTAAGTTTAAATCAGACTTATCTTGTAAGCATTTTACTGTTTTTTTGTTTTTGTTTTTGTTTTTTTTTTGTTGTTTTTTTTTTTAAACCTTCAATACATAGTAACTGTGGAGATAAAAATGTGGTGTTATTTTGAGACAGGGTGTTACAGGAAAAGTCTTTTCCTGCTTTCCCATTGTAATGACAGCTGCTTTTTTGTTGAGTGTTAAGGGTTTTTTCTTTTCTTTTCTTTTCTTTTCTTTTCTTTTCTTTTCTTTTCTTTTCTTTTCTTTTCTTTTCTTTTCTTTTCTTTTCTTTTCTTTTCTTTTCGCAGCTTTTTCTGTTTGTTTTCTGAGGAGAGGGGGAAGCATTTTTTTGCTTTAATGTTAATAGTTTGAAGGGATAATTCTTAACATGCTTAGTGGTGTTCAGTTCTGAGCTATCTTATAGTAATTATTGTGAGAATTCATTTAACTTTTACATACAGCTGCACAGGCTGTACTTCAGTGGTTACTCTAAGGTAGTGTCTTCGTGTACTGAAGTTTATTTAGAATCTTTGAGATGTTCGTGGCACTTCGTGCACTTAAAAAATTATCCTTGTGCATAGAGTGTTGTCAGGTTTATTTATACATAAAAATTATCACCAGATGTTGATTAAATTTCACCACAGTCTTATACAAATCAACTCTTAATGAGGAGGTCAGGGACTGTCCAAAGTTGAATCCCTGGTATTGTGGACCCAGAATAATGACTACATTCTTTTTATTTGTTGTTTTTAGATGAAATAATAGTTAGCATTCTTAAACGTCTTAAAAACCTGTGACTATGCATATACACATTTGGAAAACAATCAAAGAAAAAAAACCACACCAACCCCCAACCCAGAGCTACTTCCTAGGTGCACTGACAGAAAGTTCAGCATGTAATAATGGAAAAACGTCATTCCAAGGGTTCTATATCACACAATAAGCTAACTGCAGAGAGGAGAATAACAAAATGATTTGAGGTTTTCTTCTCTCACACAACACATACTGTCAGTCAGAATCTAATATCCTGTTCTCATCTTACATCTAGATTCTGCATCAGCAATATGAAGAAGTTTGTTCCTGTTAGCTCCCTGTAAAGTAAAAAATAGATGTCTGTAAAAATGAAAACTTCTAATTTAAATGAAATCAAAAACATACTACTGTTGTCTGTGCAACTCCCTAGCATTTTTGATGTTAATAACAGTATCTGCATAAATGAGAACTAGCAGCTTCTTTGAGATACTTTTATGTGGCAGCTCTGTGTTTAGAACTAGAGAGCTCATTAGAAATTGTTCAGAAAATAACAATAGACTTTCCAAATCAGGTTCTAGCGGATGTAGAGCTATTTCAGCCTAACAAGACACATTAATGAAATGTCTCTGGAGGCTCCGGCTATTGAAAAAATGCTGTTGACCCATGTAGAATTGTAAGGTAATTCAGTTCGGAAGGGACCTCTTAAAGATCATCAAATCCATCATGTTGCTCAAAACCAGTCTGATTAAATCAGATTACCTAAGCCTTGTTGCAACTTAGCATGTGGTTCTGTGGTACTGCAGCCTTCTCAGCCACCACAGTACTTTCTAAGCTGAGCATCTGTAGATTGGTTTCATTTGCTTGTTTTTTTTAAATTTATGTGTGTTTACCACCACCACCAATGTACATGCAGCTGCATGGATATTCTATTCCAGGAGCTTGTGGGCTGACAACAGCTTATTTTCCTTTGTTTACTTTTTGGAAGAAGAGATCTTTCTGTCTATATTGGTTGCTGTGTTGTGCACCTTTTGATCTATGAATATAAGGAGAAACAATGGGCATGAATGCCAAAACAGTGGCATGAAAACTTGTACCTAATCATTTCTTTGTACCTCATTGGAACGTTGTACGTATGATGTTTCCGGATACAGAACTGGCTACCAAACCTTCCTGAACAAAATAGTTTATTAATTTAATTTCATCCCGTTTCCTTTCAAATACAGCAAGCAATCTTTCAGAAAGGGCTAAAGGCATGCTAAATTAGAAAGCAGTAATTGGTACAGGGGAGAAAAGAAGCTCAAAAGCATCCTCCAGAACACAGTAATTCTTAAGAGGGCTGAAGGAAGTTTACTGTTTTGCTCATAGAATAAACTTTGCAATTTTTTAAACAAAATCAGGCCTCCACATCCAGAATACTGTGTCCAGTTCTGGGCTTTACAGATAGAGAAAGACGGGAAACTTCAAGAGTATTCAGCAGAGGGCCACAGAGATGTACGGGGGCCTGGAGGAAAAGCTGAGATATCTGGGTCTGTTCAGCTTGGAGAAGACTGAGGGGAATCTTATTAATGCTTATAAAAATCTAATGGGTGGGAGCAAGTGGCTGGGGCCAGGCTCTTTCCAATGATGCCCAACAACAGAACGAGGAGCAATGGGTACGAACTGGAACATAGGAATTTCAATAAGAACATGAGAAAAAAAATCACTTCTTCATTTTGAGAAATAGAGCACTGAAACAGGCTGTCCAGAGAGGCCATGGAATCTCCTTCTCTGGAGATATTCAAAACCCACCTGGATGCTTTCCTGTGTAACCTACTGTCGGGAACCTGCTTTAGCAAACTGTTTGGACTAGGTGGTCTCCAGAGTTCTCTTCTAACCCCTACAATTCTGTGATTCTTCACGATCATGTTGCTATTCATGGAAACATCCAACATGCATGAGAAAATTAAGACTCCTTAGTTCTGCATCATGGTTTCAAATACTTTGATGTAACGGTTTGAATTACTAACTGCTAATGAAGTGTTTTATAGTTTTTTGCTTGCCTGTTTGTTGGTTTGTATTCTCACCTTCCTTCCTGTAAGGAGGTATCAGAAACGCATGCTTTAAACTAGGAAAGAAAACAAAGTTGCCCTTTTCTTATTCCCATAGTCTCAGCCTCTTTTGTGGCCTCAGTGAAAGCTGTTGCTCTAAAAAGTGTTGACTGCATTTCAACAGTGTATCCTTGGTAGAAAGTCAATGTATACCTTCTCACGGTCAGGTATCTTAGGATGCTGACGTTCTGCTCTCTTTCAAAAGAAATGAGAAATATTTTCAACCTCCTTGTTATTCTTTATTGTGTTTCACTGCTTAACCAGAGGTCTTTTGAAACTACTCTGAGAGCAGCACTTGGATATAGTTTGGCTAATTTACCAACCTTCATTTAAAATGATCTGCAGTTGGAATACAGAAAAACCACTGCTTCTGGCACATCTGTTACTTTTTAAATTGATAAAAGTAGCTGCAAAATTAATTCCTAAATTAAGAAAATGTCATCTTTTTATTTTTTTCAGGTGAAAGTTATGTTTGTGCATCCAATGAACCATATCGGAAAGTTGATTATACCAAGAATGTCAATCCAAACTGGTGTGTGAACATAAGGACCGGGTCCACTCGATCCCTGACATCTTTGACATCCACAAAGAGTGAAGTGAAGGAGAGTAAAGATTTCATTAAACCCAAATTGGTGACTGTTATTAGGAGTGGAGTAAAACCACGAAAAGCTGTAAGAATTCTGCTGAATAAGAAGACTGCTCACTCCTTTGAACAGGTCTTGACTGACATCACAGAAGCCATCAAGTTAGATTCGGGTGTAGTCAAGAGGCTTTGTACATTGGATGGAAAGCAGGTAAGAGATTGAATTGTTGTTAAAATCTAACAATTGTGAGTTACTCTAATTAACCTTGTTTTTATAACTTAAATTCTTGTTACTTTATAGGCTTTAATCTGCTTCTGAATATGGATAATTAAGTAAACTGCACATTTTTACATTTCTGTTCAAAATATCTAGGAAAAATACTAAAATTCTCTCCACTGCAAAAGAAATTGACTACTTTAAGTAAAAGAAAAAGCACCTCTTCATATACGGTGTTGTGTTGCTAAACTAAGTGCTTATTGATTCTTTTCAGTAATTGAATTTCACTTGAAATTTTTTAAAGTAAAATGTTTAAAATACACATTTTCAGAAGCAGAGTTGTATTTTTAAGCTATTGTGTTGTGTCATGTGGTATATGAAAAAGATTGGTGTCCTCTTCCATTTCACTTCTACAGTTTACTATTTAATAAACAAAAATACTGGAAAGTCATCCTGGATACAGTAATTAAGATTGCTAAGGCCAAGAATTTTATCTGAAATAGTATTTCACAGGTGATGTTTTAGCTTTACTTTTAGTTTTAAAATAGCAAATACACACTGTTGAGATTAATGACACAGTAGGTCTTTTATTCTAACCCATAAATACAAAGGAGCAACCCAACAAATACCTTGCTGCACCAGGTGAAAGTAATACATTAGCTGTTGATCTATCTGACTGGTGAGTCAGCCTTTTGTGTAGCAGGGCTTTGACACCTAATGCCTTTATTTGACACTGATATGGAACTCCAACAGCTTTGTGAGTCTAGTAACGCAGAGCAACATCGGCTGCCAACTAGATCATGTTTGTTACCTGATACCTGGACTGTGGTCTCGTTGACTTAATATTGGGATCCTTGCTCATTCAAAAGGTATTTTTGCGTATCTACATACCTGTGTGTTTGCATGTGCTACTCCTAAAGGTTTTGATTTTGTTTAAGGAGAACTGGGAACTTGTTTTCCACAAGCTTTTTATAATATTTGTGATCCTGTGGACCACTGAAGAAGCACCTTTTTCATGTTGAAAATTGCTAGATAATGTATTGCAGAAAAAGTACACTGATTCAAATAATCTGGATATGAAGTCTTTCTCTCTGGTTAGTTCCGTGTACTACAGACACACTTACTATATACTTAAAAGTTAGGAAAGAAGTACTTTTGTTCTTAGGTATTAAATAGTGAAAGAAATATGTAAATGAGAATCCTCATTCATGATATCTGTAGGCACTGTCATATGCTCTTTAATTCTTCTAATTGTTTTATATTGTAGGGTTGTTGGTTTTCTTTTCTTGCGTTTTTAAATGAGATTTGTAAATGGCATTTTTACCTGGAGAATCCTTTATAAGAATGCGCTTTGCTTTTTAAAAGTCCGGAAATGTGATTCAATCATGTTTAATTTAATTCACTTTAAAATAGCTTAGAGGATATTTATTCTACAATAATTATTTTCTCCTGCCCATGAAGTCTTCTGTTAATGTCCCATAAAAGTTATTTTATTTTCTTAGGCAAATAGTTTAAAAAGATTTGGGAAGAGTCAGAAAGACAACTGCTACAATTTGGAGACTTGGTTCAGATTCACATATATGAATTAATGACACAGTAGAAGCTCATTAGTCTGCATTTACGTGGTAGTTGCAGTGGCGCATCAGGGAGCAATAAAATTAACCAATCAGCAGTCATACATTAAATTTCACTTATGTTGCTTGCATATTAATGTTACTCATGGTGGACAATGACTGTCGTCAATCTACAGTCAGGACAAGTAGTCATAAGTAATGCTTCAAAATAAGGGTGTTTTCTCACTGCTACACAATCTCTCTTCCTTCCTTTGTCTGGTAACAAGACTTAGATTGCAAACATAGGTATTTTCAAGCAGAACAGAGAACTTCCTACATCTTGAAGAAAGCAGCCTGCACATATCCTCACTGCACATTCGTTACTACTTCATCTCCACATAAACTCTGCTTTTGGAAGAACTTCTCTTCCAATTAGGCCTTGGGAAGGAGCCTTTTCTTGCACAACTACAGCACAATTATGATTTAAGGGATCATGTGATATAGTGCCCCAGGAGGAAGACCTATGACTTTAGACATCAGGATAATAAAAACTACCTTCTGTTTCTCTACACAGATAGAGACATCTGAGAGCTGTTTGGGGGCAAACAACTATCACAAAGCAAAGGGCTGACCCCAGTTTGAGGCAAAGAGAATTTCTTTATTTGTTTACTGCTGGTATATGTTAGAGGTTGGTGCCCAAGGACTTTGTGGGGTTTGGCAAATACGGAGTTGCTCTGTTGCCAATTACCAATTGGTGGAAATTTCTGAGCCTATTTTCTCTAATGTGGTAATTGCTTATTCTTCTAAATCTGCAAGGGAGGCAAATCTTTTATGTCCGTCCTATTGTTGGCACAGCTTGAAAGGCAACCATTTACAAAAAAAAAAAAAAAAAAAAGAAAAAAGAAAAAGCACTCTGTAAATGGCTATGTTCTTATAAATGTAGCTCTTGTGATTCTCAAGGTTCTCTCCACCCCCCACTTATTTTAAATCTGAGGAAATACCAATTATTTTCTTTTCTTTTTTTTTCAGAGAGGCAGTATGTTTAAATTCTATGTGGAATTGGGGCTGAAATTCAAGAGTTTAAACACATGTAGAATTTGTATCCTTCTATTAGGGACTGTATGGTCCTCATTAACTATGGGACAATTTTGTTGATGTATATAATAAGAAATGAAAAAAACAACCAGTGATCTATGAAGATAACTTGTTTTTAATTGTAAAGAGAATGATGGAAATTATGTCTACAATCTAAGTTTTGTGTACTCATCTGACTTCATTTATTTTTACTATAGCAAGGCCTGATAATAGCAACACTGACAGCAACATTCATCTCACTTTATTTTCCTTGATTACTTTGAAGGCAGACAATTATTTAGCTTTAAATGGCAAGATTTTAACATTTGGAAGGATTCCTTTTGTCACCAGATAAGTTATAAAAGGGCGATGTGATTTGGAGGATTAGCACTGGATAGTCTGAAATACAGAATCTCATCTAACTAATGGCAAAACTTGCCATTTCACTTTTGTTAAGCATCAAACATTTAAAAAAAAATGATTTCCAAAACTTTTGTGATTGGTTCTAAGGAAAAATAGTTTCATGAAAGTAACTAAGCTTTTACTTTTCTGTGCTGGCTTCTGTCATTCCAGTTTTCATCCTTCTGACATTGAGGTTTTCCTAATATATTTGTCTGAGCAGAGTGTTTTCCTTGCTTGGATGGATTTTCCTTTCTCTGTCCTTTTCTGGAATCTGTCACTTCCCTACAGTGAAGCAAGGACAGTCACTCTGAAGCTTCTGCAGTTGAGGAGTTAACCCTTCAATATCTCCAAAGACAATGGAGCATTTCTATCTTGCTTCTGAAGCTTCAGGTAACAATTCTTGCAAAATAGAAGGTAGCAACATAACATATAGGACTTGGAAGCGTATATTATTTGCCACCAAAAAGAAAATTGAAATCTTCACTCCAGGAAGTCAGTAACTTTTCAAGATTACATTTTATTGCAGTTTAATGGATGAAAGTCTGTAACAAGATTGAAAGGGTGGACGAGCCATCTACACTATACTCCATTTCCAAATTATTGAGAATATACCACAGATGAAACATTATTTTAAAGGCCTCTTTTTGGTGGGCCAAAGATATTGGTGGATCTCTTTGAAATCAAAAGCTCTGTAATTTTCTGATTACACCTTGTATGTAAATGGGTAATTAAAAATAGCATATTATATTTATAAGTATTCATCAGACTTATCATGCTCTTTTCTCACTATTTTTTTAATTGTCTAGTGACTGTTCTGAAAACTCACTGAAGACAAATGCTAGCATATGTAAAGTTATTTTTCAATTTGGTTTGTAGAGGTATTTCTAAGAGATCAACTGCAGCTGTTAAGGTACCCATCAGAGATGGCACATCTTAACAGAAACTGAAAGCATTCAGTAGGAGAGACATTAAAGGCTTACAATTTATCCAATCTAGACGTTAAATATTTACATCTAAAATCCAGATGAATGAAGAGGGCATTTTTGTTTTCAATTAACAAAGGCTGTATATAGCTTTGGAAGAACTGTTGAGCTAGAGAAAAAAACCAAAATTTGAATGCCAGTAAACATTAAAATATTCAAGTATATACACCTGCAGGCCAGAGTAGAATCCATAGAGCAAGATTTACTGTTTAGAGTAAACCCAGTGCTAACAAACCTTATCCACCATTTGAAATAATATGTGACTTAGGGGAAGATGGTCTTATACTAAAGTTAGACCAGAATTGTTTCAGTAAATAACCATGGAGAGATGTCTGACTGTGGGATAAATCTCATGTGAGTGTAAAAAAAACAGAATAATTGAAGTGGCCCAGTCATTGAGGAAATCCTGTGACAGGAAAAGAGTTCATCCATGGATACTGCAATGCAGTTTTTAGTTTTTTTTTCTCTTGCGGATTTTTTTTCCACACTTTCAGTTGGTAGGCTCAGAACTGGAATTAGTGGTTGTTTATTGCCAGAGGGAGGGAGGAAATAGTGTACTCAAACAGAGGAGCTAATTTTGGCCTCATCCATGGATATAGAAGTTTTCCCATCTGTGGTTATTTATGGAAGGCAGTGTTATCTGAAACTATCTCACAGTTAACTGAGCCCTGACACAGAAGCAGAGATCTGAAAAATAAACTTAATTTGAAAATGCACCTACACCATTTTTCCACCTATAGATCTTGTCAGGGAATTAACTTCATTTAATGTAGTCACACAAAGGCCACAGGTAGGTAGTATGTTACTCAGGATTTACCTCAAGTATTTACAGCTTGTACCATAATGGTCATAGGATCATTACCATTCTGAAGATAAATAAAAATGAATTAAATAGAAAGTCCAAAACAGGAAGGATTTTGCTTAGAAGTATCAAAATTACGGTGCTGAAAGTATTAAGAGGTGGAAAAAATGACCATCTAAC